ATATATTTTTATTGGTTTCAGAGAGGAAGGGAAAGGGGGGAGAGAGAGAGAAACATCAATAAGAGAATCATTGATTGGCTGCCTCCTGCATACTCCACACTGGGGATTAAGCCCACAACTGGGGCATGTGCCCTGACCTGGAATCAAACCATGACCACCTGGCTCATAGGTTGACGCTCAACCACTGAGCCAGGCCAACTAGGTTCAGGTGCCAGTAAAAATGCTTGTATAAATAAAAAAAAAATGTATTGCTGGTTTAGTTCTCTTCAAGGTATTCTTTGAAACTATTGGGAAATTTGGTAAAAATTTAGAAGTTAAAATTTGAAAATTACCTTCTAATAGCTAATGGAACCCTTTATTTCTTTAAATCCTATCCCAGGGATATGCTTACTGATTTGAGAGAGAGAGAGAATCGTTGATGTTAGAGAAAAGCATCAGTTGGTTGCCTCTCATATGCACCTCCACTGGGGGCTGAACGCCCAACCTAGGTATGTGCCCTGACTGGGAATTGAACCCACAGCCTTTCCATGTACACAATGATGACCAAACCAACTGAGCCACCCCAGCCTGGTCATGGAACCAATTTTTAGAAAAGAATACCTTATATTACTCCTAGATTTCTGCATATCCAAGGTCCAGAATACAGCTAAGTCAATGGGTCTTCATGGAACACCTTGATGACTTTGAGTGGGTTAAATGAGATATAATGTATGCAACATGCTCATCTCTGTGCCAGGCGGGCACTCACTCTTTTGTAGTTTCAGTAGGCCTCATCCTGTTTTCTGTGTCATTGTTATGTATTTTCCTTAAAATAGCTCTGGGTTCATAAATTTTGCATCATTTCTCTGAAATGTTGGCCCTAAAAATTGGGAGCAGAGAGTTTAAAACTTTAGCATCCACTTAATATCTCATTGGCATAAGCTCATAAATTCAACCATTATTGAAATCTTGATTTGCATAATGATGATAAAAGAAGTAATTCTCAATATATCAAGATTCTTTTTTTTTTGAATCCTACTGGAGGATATTTTTCCATTGATTTTTAGAGAGAGTGGAAGAGAGAGGGAAAGACAGAGAAACATTGATGTCAGAGAAACACATCGATTGGTTGCCTCCAGCAGGTCCTGGGCCAGGGAGGAGTCTGCAACCACAGTACATGCCCTTGACTGGAACTGAGTCTGCTGGTCAACACTCTATCAACTAAGCCAAACCTGCTAGGAGAAGATTCTTTATGTTATTTGCTGTGTTCTCCATTCCGGTAACTACATCTACAAATTTGTTTCCAGTTTAGACCACATTTTGTTTGACATCATTTTAAATCTCATTATGCTTCCCACAAATGAAGACTATTTTATGAGATAGGTTCTATAAGAGAAATTGATTGAGGTAGTTATGAAATAATAACACCTTTAGGTGGGATTTTTTTTTCCATTTTTCTTCTTTTGTTAGGGGCAGGAATAGAATATTAGGGACTAGCTATAATTATAAGAAATATTACTAGTAATGGTGCTCTCTTAACCATGATTGCTCTGTTTTGATTAGAGAAAGCATGTTCTAATCTGTTTGAGAGTTGTACACCCTGGGGCATGGGAGCTAACATGGGAATGCAGCTCCCAACGGCCTAGATTAACAACCTTGTTGCCTGTAAGCTGGTCCCTGAGTCATGCAACCCCCAGCCCAAATTGCATGTAACCTGTAACCACTGTACCTTGCCTACTTTCCCATGCGTGTAATTTCTACTTTCCCATGGAATCTGTGTCTTTCTACCCAAGATAAGCAGCTGGCTTATGGGGAGAGTAGAGCAGATGTTTGTGGATGACCTGCTGCTCTCCCATTCTGCTCACATTAATGGAATAAACGCCATATATGAGTCAACCCAGTGTCTGCTACATTCGTTCAAGTAGTAACCAGCAGCCTGGACCCATTGGTTGTCCGGTTTCACTTTAAGTAATTTTATAACAGTTATTGGAACTGGATAATTAATAAAAATGCCAATCAGTACTTTTTTTCTTCTAACACAAGTCCAAATATTGCATTTACTTACAATTTTTAAAATTTCTTTTAAATTAAGAATGAATTTTTAAATTAACCCAAGTAAAACCATTACTAGTTTAGAAAATAATTAAAACACTCTTTGTGCATTGATTGACAGCCTAAAGGTTTAAATTCTGTTTCGAGGACACCTGCATATTTGTTCTCTAAATGTCTTTCTTGCATGTGCTAATTTAATACTCCTTGCACAAAAAGTTATGTACAATATCTTTTTGATAAAATATTTTCCAGTCCGGCCGGCGTAGCTCAATGATTGAGCGTCAAACTATGAAGTAGGAGATCATGGTTCCATTCCCTGTCAGGGCACATGTGTGGGTTGGGGGCTCGATTCCCATTATGGGGCATGCAGGAGGCAGCCGATCAATGATTCTCTCATCATTGATGCTTCTATCTCTCCCTCCGTCTCCTTTCCCCTCTGAACTCAATAAAGATATATTTTTAAAAGTAAGTAAATAAAGTATTTTCCAAATATACAACTTTACTTTGTTCATTTTTCTTATAAACTACACATTAGTGAATGGTCTGTCGAATTGTGTTTTAGGTAGTTGACTGGTGGAGTTCAGGTGTTCTAATGTATGAACTATTCACAGTCAATGGGGAGAAGAATTTCGGAGGTGAGCTCTCTAGGTAAGACTCCACAAAATAAAATGAATGTGTTGTTACCAAATTAGAATTAAGCGGTTAATTTTAATTGATATAGGGTATATATAGTTATACCTTTATGTTTCTTTATGTTTTATATGCCTAGATAGATATTAAGTTTCATAGGGAGAGTGTCCTAATTTTTGTGTGTTCCAAAGCAGTTAGCATGGGGCATGAGCTGCTGGCAGAGCCATTTAGAATGCGGGCCATGGGGCCGTTTGGAATGGGTGGCATGGAAACAGTGGAATGTTTGGTGCAGAGTCGGTGGGCGTGGAGTCGGTGGGTGTGGAGTCGGTTGTGTGTGGAGTCGGTGGGTGCAGAGTCGGTGTGTTAAGAGTCGGTGGACGTAGAGTCGGTGGACGTAGAGTCGGTGAACTTAGAGTCGGTGAACTTAGAGTCGGTGAGCTTAGAGTCGGTGAGCGCGGAGTCGGTAAGTACAGAGCCTTTTCATGTGTAGGAAGGGACTGTGCCTGCCTCCCCCTCAGGGCTGTTGGGAAGAGTGAATGTGGCGAAGACAGAGGGCACCTAGTGCAGAGCTGGGGATGGGCAGAGAGACGGTGCCCAGGTGACTCCAGAGTATGAGCAAACCCTTCCCGCTGCCAGGCTTTGATCAGAACTGTGTCCACTGATGGAAGGTCCATGGCTTCCCTCCTACCAAGAATCCTGGGTTCTGGGCCCTGTGGGAAAATGAACACGAGATGGAAAAGCAGCAGCTACCACTCACTCCCAGTCGTTAAAACCCATGAGTGGGGCCAGCCTTGGAAAACTGCCCACGGAGAGAAACAGTCACATCCCGTGTATGCGTGTTCCCAGACTGTGAAGGCACTTGGGGGAGACTCAGCCCCCTACGACACCCAGTGGTTCTGGGAGGCTCCTGGGGCGGGAGCAGAGATGAGGGGAAAGAGCTGAACGGCTCCCCCGTGTGTGCTGGGCCCTGGGACAGGTGTAAGTCCAGCAGACTCCTCCCATGAGGGGGCCTGCGAGGGGCCAGCCATGGCGTCCCACACTCAGCATGTGCCTGACACCCAGAGGCCCATAGTATTGTTTGTTATGCCTTAGCCCTCATTTCCAGGAAACTGCCGAGAGCTGCCGAGAGCTGTTGGTTTTCCAAGAGGACGTGTGTAAACTGTTCAGATAGGAACTGTGTGTTGAACAAAAGCTCACCCATAGCCATTTATTTCCAGGACCCAGATCAGTGAAGTGACTGTGGAATTGAGAGGCCTGGACTCAGCCCTCTAACCCGGGATAGACTCTTAGCCCCACCCCTTCCTGTTAAGGAAACAGCTCAGTGAAGTCCCATACCTGTCAGCAGGTGCACTCGTCCAATAGACAAAGCTGTACATGTCAGACACTCTCGCACCACGTGTACAACGGATTGGGGCACTTTTAGGTTTCTGTTGTGCCCTTCTCTGACTTTCTGCTACTGGGTTGGGGCTGCTGCCCACGCAGTGACCTGCAGATGGTGAAGAGTTGCTTGCTAAGCTCAGTGGCTTGAGTGAGCAACACTTAAGGTCCTCAAAACAGACAGGGCCTTCCTGGCCGGGGCCAATGTCCCGGTTGCGGGCTCCACGCCCAGGCGTGGCCTGTGGGAGGCAACTGATCAGTGATTCTCTCTCATCATTGATGTTTCTATCTCTTTCTCCCTCTCCCTTCCTCTCTGAAATCAATAAAAATATATT